CATCTCTCTCTAACCTTATTCTTACTTCAAGCATCTTCTAGCTTAAGTAAATGATCTTTCTTTTAGCAATCTCTTTTCTTGTATTTGCTAAAGCTTTGTGTGTAACCAAAGATTGTTTAGATATGTTTTTATTACCTTATCTTTCCGCAAACAATCTTGTAAAATATGTATTGATCTTCTCTATCAATATATATTTTAAATTTGAAAATATTGTGTTTGTATTCATCCCCCCTTCTACAAACTGTTTCTCTTCTTGTAGACCCTTACGGGACCAACGAGTCGCATCAGAGCAGTGTTTTCTTTCTTTCCATGTGTTTGGCTAATTTTCTGTATTAATTTATCTCTTCTTAGATAACTTACTGCTTACAAATGGYTTTACAAATTACAAACACACACACACACAAAAGATAATGGCTCTCTTGCCAAACCTCCCCGGTTTGTCCGTGACAACTTTAGTCTCTGGAAGAACCGGATGTCCCTCTTTCTGGAAAGTGTGAATCCTGAAATTCCACATTACATAGAAAATAGACCATATATTCTATTTGCTATTGTTCCGGCTGTTCCAGCAACAGCTACGACTGCCGCGATTCCTGAACGACAGATTCCAAAGCTTCCACATCAGTGGAGCGATAAGGACAATAAGAAAATAGCTATAGACACGCGTGCTCGGTCTATAATAGATATGTCTCTTCCTGATGAGATCTGTCACTCAGTGATGAAACTCAAAACTTCTAAATTCATATGGGATACTCTTTGTGTCCAATATGAAGGAACCACTCAGGTTCAGGAGACTAGAAAGATCAATCTAGTAAGACAGTATGAAAGCTTTATCTGTGGAAAGTCCGAGACACTGTCTGGAGTACATCAAAGATTTAATTGCCTTCTTATTGATCTAAGGGCTGTCAACAAGGAATATTCTAATTCTGAAACCTTGACTAAGTTTCTAGAATGCCTTCCTGAGTCTTGGGACACCTTTTCCATGTGTCTCAAGATGTCAAATGACATGTCCACTCTTTCTCTTTCTACCTTATACGAGATTTTGTTTAACCATAAGCAATCTCGTCAACTGAAAAGAAATCTTATAAAAGAATCCAGGGAAATGAAAATCTCTCATTTAGCTTTGATCTTTGAAGCTTCTTCAATTGAAACTTCTACTCCTTTTGTTTCTTCTCTACCTCCCGTGGTCATCACAGAGATTGATTCTTCTGAGGACATTCCTGAATCTGATTTAACAAATTTTGATGAGTCCCTGGCACTCCTGACTAAGTCATTTAGGAGGTTCGCCAGTAAAAGCAATTTCCGTAGATCTCCTCAGCTATCCCTCCGGGAGAAGCCAAAGTCTGAAAGAATAGACAAGGCTTCAGCTGTCTGCTACAACTGTCACCGGCTCGGACATTTTGCAGGTGAATGCAGATCTAAAAAGACTGCGACGCCATCTTCTAAAGCTTCTATTGATCCCAGATCTCTCAATAACACTAATAATCTAGTTATAAAAACCAAATTATAGTGATTTTACGAAGAAAGTTATGAAGACTCAAGATTAAAATAAGAACATTCAAGAACAAACTTGAGCTTCAAAGGTTTTACTTTATAAATAATGGAACTTAAAACAAAGAGTAAAAACCTTTCTCACGTACGCACATATGCTCACTTTTTACAATAGACTTAGTCGTCTATTTATATTAGATGGCTAATGCTAAGATAACTATCTATTGCTACTTTCTAGCAAATAGTCTAGCTAACAAATAAGGTTTATCTTTTACATGGATAATCATTATTAACAAGAT